ATAAATATTATATTAAAAAACCCCGAACTATAATATAATCGTCTTAAGAAATACGGATTAAATATTATTAATTTAAAAATCGGAAATATTAACGTAATTATTATTATAATTAGCGCTTAGCTTATATAATATAATAACCTTAAAATACTTAACTAACTCTTAAATATTATTAATATTTTAAAATCGCTACGTAAAAATAAATTAAAAAAGATTAAAAAAGAAATCTAGCGCTATTAAAAAAAATAGAAAATAAAAGGTAGTATTTAGTTATTAAAAAAGCGATTAATATATTATAATAGCGAGGTTATTAATATATTAAGTTTAGTTAGTATCTCGGTAACGGCTATAGCTAGCTATAATTAGTTATAAAGTTTGTTATATAATAAAAACTTAATATCAACCCTAATAAACTAGCTTATTCATAAAGGCGAAGATGGCCCCTAATAAGGTAGGTCGGACCCTAAAGGGAAAGTTTATAATATAACTATAAATTATTAATAATAATATTAAATACCCGACGTTACTATTTTATAAGCTACTTATTTAGTTAAGTTTATAGCCCTTTTAAGTAATAATAGCTTATAATAATATAGTATTAAAAATACCCTCGTTATTATTATTAAAAATAATATTAACTTTTATAAACTATTATAATCTCGCTCTTAATCTTTACGAGCTTTGGTATAGCAAAGTAGCTAGATATTAGCCCTTTTAGCCCTTTTTTTAAAAACCTCTATATTATTATTAAAATTTAGAACCTCTATAGTTAAGGGCTACCTCCGACCTTTATAACCGATCTTTATTATTAACCTTTTTAATTAGTACCGCTACGTAAAAAATAGCTTACTTATCCCAAATTATATAGCGGTTTTCGTATTAAAATTATTATATTACGTTAAGCGCGTACTTAGGGTATATTACGTATATTATATAATTAAAAAATATATTATATTATATAATTTCCCTTAAAAACGTAATTCCGTTAAGCTCGATCTTTTACGCTTATAAAGCCGGAAAAAAACCACTATATAATCTCGCTCTCTTAATAACGTTTATTATATTTTTAATTTTAATTCGTATATATATATATTTATTTATTACCTCGTTTTTTTTATTAAAATTAAAAACCGCTTCCCTTATTATTTATTATTATCGTATTTTTAGTGTTATTATTAAATTATTATTTTAAATATATATTATTAAAATACTAAAATACTAACTCGCTAATTTATAAGGATATTTTAAAAGCTAGAAGTTAGATTTTATAAATACTACACTAAAAGACCCCGAATTATAATATAATTATTTTAAAAAATACGGATTAGATATTATTAATTTAAAAATCGAAAATATTAATATAATTATTATTATAATTAATACTTAGTTTATATAATATAATAGTTTTAAAATACTTAACTAATTTCTAAATATTATTAATATTCTAAAATCGCTATATAAAAATAAATTAAAAAAAATTTAAAAATTTTTTAATATTGTTAAAAAAAGTAAAAAGTAGGGGGTAGTTTTTAATTATTTAAAGGGTAATTAATATATTATAGCAGGGTTATTAATATTTTAAGTTTAGTTAGTATTAATAGTTAATAATAATTATATTAACTATAGCTAGTTATAGCCGGCTATTATTAATTAATATAAAGTCTTATTAAAATACGTAATAAAAACTTTATATTAACTTTAATAAACTAGCTTACTTATAAAAGCGAAAATGGCCCTTAACAAGGCGGGCTAGACCCTAAAGGGTTTATTAATATTATATATTAATATTATATAATTAATATTAAAAACCGCCCGAGTAATAAGTAAAAGTAAAATAAATAAATAAATAATTTATAATACGACCTTAGTAAATTATTTTATTAAGGTAATAATAAGAGTAAATACTTATACTATATATTAATATTATATAGTAGTTTTTTTCCGGTTTTATAAGTATAAAAAATCGACCTTAACGGGATTACGCTTTTAAAAAAAATTATATAATACGGTAAACTTTTTAATTATATAATATATATAATAATCTATTGAGATAGTAGGAGTATGCACTAATACTGTGTATTAATACCGTGTAAACGATACTAAGAATCGCCCGAGTAGCTAGCAAAGGCAGAACACAAAAAAATAAATAATATATATAATATACTCTAAGTACGTACTTAACATAATATAGTAATTTTAATATAAAAACCGCTATATAATTTAAAATAAATAAATTACTTTATAATAGCGCTAACTAAAAAAGTTAATAATAAAAGTTAGTTATAAAAGTTAAAAATAGCCCTTAATTATAAAAGTTCTAAACTTTAATAACGACGTAGAGGTTTTTAAAAAAAGGGCTAAAAAAGCTAATATCTAGTTATTTTATTATACTAAAGCTCGTAAAAATTCTTTTTATTTTTGTTATTTTTAATATTACTTAAAGCTCTATTTAAACTAAATAAATTTACTAAATAAACTTATTAAATAAACTTATAAATATATAAACTAGTACCTTATTAAAAACTTACTTTCTTAGTATATAGTTAGTAACTAGCGGGCTAAGACTAAAAATACTCCTTAATAAGTCCCCCCCTCTAAAGCTTAATAGATTCTTAGGCCCCCTTAACGCCCTAACTATCGTAACTAATATAAATATATTTAAAAAGTAGCATAGTACCTTTTAATAATATAGAATCTAATTAAGTAATAATATAAATATTATAAATGACTAAGTTAATATAAATATTAAAATTTAATATATTAATATTAACTTAAAAATTATACTTTATAAAGCTAAAAATTCTTTTAATATAGGTTATATTATAAATATAAGGGAATATATAAGGGGCCCTTTAACCCTTAATAAAAAGGAGTATATAATATAAAATCTAGCTACTTATGCGGGCTAATATTAAGAGGTTTTATATATATTAAAATAAGTATAGCTCGCTTTTTAAATAAGTAATAAAAAGTTAAGAGCTATTAATAAAAAAGAGATAATAGTCGAGTTAGTTAACTATTATTTTAATTAGTACTTAAGTATAGAGCGTAATATACCTAGTTTTCTTTAATATATAATATATAGTACGGCCCCGGCGGATTGCTCCGTTAGGAGGATATATTAATAGTATATAATTAATATTAAGAACTACTTAAGTAGTTTATTAAAATAAAATATAAAAATAAATAGCTTATAAAAATTCCGTTTATCCTTATTACTTTTAATATTACGTAAAGCTACTTTTTATTTAAACTAAATAAACTTATTAAATAAACTTATTAATATATAAATATTATAATTAATAATTAATAAACTAATAATACCCCTTAATAAGTTTATACCTCTCGGGCTAAGTACCCTTAGCTAGCTTAATATTATAGCTATTATAACTATCGTTAATATATTTAAACAATAATAAAATACTTCTTAATAATATAATATTTAACTAAGTAATATTATAAATATTATAAATAGCCCTTTGGGGTCCGGCCCGCCTTATTAGGGGCTATCTTCGCCTTTATAAATAAGCTAGTTTATTAAGGTTAATATTAAGTTTTTATTATATACTTTAATAAAACTTTATATTAATTAATAATAGCTAGCTATAGCTAGTATAGCTATTATTAATTATTAATACTAACTAAACTTAAAATATTAACGATCCTACTATAATATATTAATTACCCTCTAAATAATTAAAAACTACCCCCTACTTTCTACTTTATTTAATAACTCTAAAATATCCTTTTTAATCTTTTTTAACCTACTCTTATACTACGTTTTTAAAGTATTAATAATATTTTAAAATCGGTTAAGTATTTCGAGCTTATATTATATAAGCTAAGTACTTATTAAAATAATAACTATATTAATATATATTTTTCCGATTTTTAAATTAACCGTATTATAGTTCGGGGTCCTCTAGTATAATACTTATAAAATTAAACTTCTAACTATTAAAAAAGCCCTAGGGGTCGATAATAATTAGGTATTTTAGTATTTTAATAGTATATATTTAAAATAAACGATTTAATAATAATAATAATAGATAATAAGGAAAATAGCGTTTTTCGACTTTAATAAAAGAAACGAAGTAACGAATGAATATATATATATAAGTAAAATTAAAAATATTAAGCTAAATATCGTACTTATAGAGGTCGATATTATTTAATAATAGTAACGAGGGTATTTTTAATACTACTATTATAAGCTACTATACTTAAAAAGGTAATTAACTTAGCTAAGTACGCAGGCTTATAAAGTAGTAGTATTGGGCACCTAGTATCGCTATTAATAATCTTAAACTTTATAAAAAGGAAAGTTAAAAAGGTAGAAAATCTAAAAAAATAATCTATTAAGACAGTAGGAGTATATACTAATACTATATATTAATACTATATAAATAATACTAAGAATCACCTGAGTAGCTAATAAAGGCAGAATATAAAAATAAATATTATAAATAACTAAAACTTAAGAGGATTATAATAAAAAGTTAGGAGTTTTAGTTAGTAATTAAGTATAAAGCGTAATATACTTAGTTTTTTTTAATATATAAAACATAATACGGCCCTAGTAGATTACTCCGTTAGGGGAATATTAATATTATATTAATAATATTAAAAACTACCCGAGTAGTTAATAAAATTAGAATATATAAATAAATAATATACTATAATTATTATAAGTAATAGGCTAGCTTTTAAGTTAGTTATATATATTAAGTCATAATAATTTAATTTTTTATTATTATTTAATATCCGTAATTATTATAGTAAAAGCGTTTAGTACCCTTAATATAAGTTACGTATTTAATTTAGTTTACGTATTAAATATATATAGTACTTTAAAAACATTATTCTTAATATAATATTATTAACTATACTCATATTTACTTAATAATAACTATATTAATTAGTGCCTAGTAGCATAATAGTAATTACGGTTCTATTTTTATATAATATTTATAGTATTCTATTTCATAATACCCCATTACTACTTATGCTATCTGGCTTTGTAAAACCTTCTGCCTTAGTACTATTAGTTACACACGATCCGTTAGTATATTCTTAACCATGCTGCCCATTGCCCAGTTGTGTTTCTTAGGGACATGTGGAACTTACCATCCTCGACACTTCGCACATTTAGCGTTTTCCGCTGCACGATCACCTCGAGGTCCTGAATGTTGTTCATCAAATTCTGAACCTTGGCTTCGTAGAAACGTTCGGCAGACTCGGTATCCTGCGTAACCGTTAACACACACAATGGTCAGAGGTCAGACCGAACCTCGGGCTTGATGAACATGCCTTCTCGACGTAGAATCCTGTGCCCACGTCGACGATGACGTGCTTTGGATCCGAAAGCTCCCCACGTACGTAGAGGGAGTTGGTTAGCGGCACCAGGACAGATTTGTCGCCTAGAGAAATGTTAACTCGGCTGGCCACTGATAAGACGGGAAAGTTGGGGGCCTGCATACCATCGCCAGCACCAGGCTTGGCCTTGACACACCGGAGGCACTCCTTGAACCTGGATTGTGCGCTGTGTAGCTGGGCGAACGAGTTTGTCAAGTGCTCGAGTTCTTCTTCCAATTGCTTCTTGACCTGACTGAGCTGCTGTGTGTCCAGCGTCTCCAGATTGACTGTGGAGCCGAGTCAGCACGGAAATCGACGATGTATACCTGATCTTAATGAGGAGATGGCGGAATCTCAACTGGAACTACTCACTACTCTCGGAACCCTGGGCGGCCATGGTTGATTAAATAGGCTTGCGGGCGAACAAAGTCGTTGGGATAGATGATTGAAGTGAGTATGAGTCCCTGCTTAGTACCGAACCCTAGGCGACGGTGAAAGCCCACTTCGGACAAAAGGGCAAAAAGATAAACTTCGGATTGCTGATGTGATTGAGACCCGATGTTGTGTCAAACTCTCGGGAGGGGACTGAGGTTTGAAGCAAAGCCTGACTACTTGATTGTCGTTCATTGACACCACTCCTTCCCATATTATTGACAGCATTTGTCGCACTTCTCGGGTGGCTATACACGTGACCGCCCCACACCGCGCAGGACATGTCTGGGCAGGCCGCCGTCGCATGTCACCCAACTCACATCGAGTTTGGTAAGATCAGTAGATAGAGAGAGGTTGCCGGGTCCCTGATGCTTCGACAGCAATGGACATACCTTTTAGTTGTGACAATTAAACGAGCTATTGGAGGCGTTTTCCTATCTTCTACGATGGTAGGACATCTGATTTGGAGGTACATGAATGCCTTGTACACGCCGCGTCGCGGGCGCCTCAACGAGACGTCCTAGCGGTCTTCATTCTGCTCAGAGCTGTTCGAGCAACTCTGCCACACGCTGGCGTAGCTCTCTAAGCGGGACCATTTCTTTGATCCCGAATCTGCGGCATTGGACCTCACAATTACCTGTCTCTTTCCATACTTTACCCAGTATGACTAGGACTGGATAACCTACCAAGTCTGCGTCATTCAGCTTCCAACCGAAGGACGCCGACCTATCATCCAGCACCGTGTCAATGCCCCCTGTGGCGATCTCATCATACACTTGACTAGCATCTTCAGCTAGAGTAGGAGTGGAAATCACCACGACTTCGTAAGGGGCAATCACGCGCGGCCATTGTAGGCCCTTCGTGTCTGTCAGATGCTCAGCTACGGCCCCTATGAGTCTGGAGACGCCAATTCCATGGCACCCCATCTGCATAGGTGTCTTTTCCTCAGCCAAAGCTGGCTGACCATCGTGCTGACTTGAATTCGCACGAGTTGGTACGGATACTGTTGCATCGAGTGGCTCCGAGTATCGAGTTCCTAGGTAGAATGTGTGCCCAAGCTCCAGCGCCTTCTGCAGCTCGAGAACGCCACTATCGCAGCAAGGGCATCTGTCACCATCGCGAGCCGCGAGCAGGTGGATTGGTTGTCCAACTTGAGTTCTGGTAATGATGGTTGAGTCTACTCCATCTTCGGGAACATCCAACCCTGACAAAGGCGATGATTTACTTTCTTCTCGTAGAACCTCTTCTAGGTTGCTGGTCAATGTGGAGTGTATGATGTTAATGATCTGGGGCCGGGTGGCCGCAGTGTCCGTGCTAGAACTCGTTGATGTAATAGCTGCCCGCCACAGTGATACGGCATTCTCAGTGCTTGCGTCCAGATCAGCGACAATTGTCTTGATGGCCGAAATCCTGAGATCTTTCTCTCCGTTAGATTCATCCTGGCTTCGGCCTGGATACCAGGCATTCACCAAGGTCTTGCGGTCTTTACTGATGCCTCGCCACACCCTTATTGAAGCAGATGCAGGACTTGGAGCTTCAGTCAGACCGCATGGTCCTGTGCTGTCGACGGCCGCTGTCCTTGGCTCGGCGACCTCGGCGTTAGCAGCGTAGCTACAAGTATTGCAGGTGACCAGAGTGTCCTCCCCAATTGAGGTGGGCAAGTGATACTCATGGCTCAGGTCGCCTCCCATGTCGCCGGAGCTCGCTTTGGCTACTTTCACCGGCAGCTTCAGTGATTTGAAAACGCCGGTGTATGCCGACTGGACCTTCTTATAGGTCTCCAAGGCCGAATCCGCGGAGACATCAAAAGTATAGAGGTCCTTCATGGTGAACTCGCGGGTTCTTAGTAATCCATGGCGCGGACGAAGTTCGTCACGGAATTTGCGCGCTAATGATTTCAGCATGAGTTATTGGGTTGCTAACGAGGTCTGTGAAGTTTCTGTGCTCACTGATCTGATAGAGGCGAAGGGGCAGTTCTTTGTAGGATTTCACAGTCTTCGCCACTAGAGTAGTAATCTCTTCCTCGTGGGTGGGCGACAGCATGTATTTGGACCCTTTGCGGTCCTCGAAGCCGAAGAGCTTTGCCAGTCAGCCGTATGATCAAGGTTTTTGAGACAGCATGCACTGACCTCAGCCTCTAGTTGTGTAAGACGGCCACTCCTCTCCCAGAGGTCCTTGGACGTAATGGTTGACAGAGCTACTCTCGAGGCTCCTGTGGCAGACGTCAGTAAATGGCAGCGGCCGGCAACCGAGGTGTACGAGAAAACCTACCGAGTTCTTGCATGTAATAGTCAATCACGCCCTCGAGTTTCCGTTGGACACGCTGACCAAGAGGAAGTAGATGGAAAATGCCAGAGTGTGACTGAAATATGAGGAATGAGCAAAATCTCCCACCTCAATACCCCTTCACCGAATTACCTACCTGTCGCAAGAATCCGGCGCGAACAAGCTTTTCATAGGCGCCTGAGTTTCTGAATTGAGTATGCTGACAATCGAGATAGGCAGCATGCGATAGACCTACCTTCGCCTCGTTCAGGTGTCATTCCTCCGGTAGGGACCCAAACAGTTGACAGTCGATTCCTGGTGCTACCAGCGCGGTAGCCGCGGCTGAATGACTGATGGCATGTAAGCAATGTCATATGAGTTTATTGCTTCAAAGGCATATGTGTACCTACCTGGCTACTGCCATTGAACGGTAAGTTGCCATGGCTTGCCTTCGTGCTATGAGGCGTCGACAAGATAGGGAGTCTCCATGCGCGACTGAAAGACATGTTGGCGTCGAAAGTAAGTACGCCAGCTGACGAGGTAACTCTGGAACACGTTCGCTGACCAACACTCTCAAGTGAGTTGCTGGTTCAGTAGCGATGACCAATATCTTCACCTTGAAAGCCTCCACCAAGATGGGATGATAGTGGTGATTGATCAACCCTTGAACGAGCTGGCCGCTTGAGGACTTGCCAATCGGGAATCAGCAAATGGCACAGGCTGGCAATGGACAATTGATTAGTGAGACTGGCGCGAAGACAAGATCTACTCTTATTGGGGTCACAAGAGGCCAGGTGATGGAGGCTACGTCAAATTTTGTTTGACCACAATCTTGGATTACTTTGGATGAGAGGGCTATCAGCGACAATTTGGCTTACCTAGGTAGACGGGGCCAGATGGATGCGCGACCCGAATTTATAGCGTTATTACCTTACTCCGAGTTGCCTTGGGTACTCCAAGTTGGAGATGACAATACAGATAGGTAACATTCAATTGGGTTTACCGTTCCACTTAAGGAGGTATCCGTACCTAGACCGGGAGGCTCGACCACGACCTCGACCACCTCAGGTCCCGTCGCGTTGCCGTCCCTGCTTATCGATAAGAAAATTGACCCCACTCCTGGCTCTCAATGCCTTTTTTTTTTTCTCTTGCGACAACCTTTCCTCGCTGCATTGCAGGTTCTGCTTCTTGTACATTTTGGTGTAATACAGGGGATTTTTCTCACCTTCACACGGTTCATTATTGTGTTCTTCAATCATTTATCCAGGACTCTCCCTCTTCTTTTGGCTGCGGTCGTAACCTGAAATACATGATGGGCAAGCCAAAGAGGCAATCTGCCGGCAAGGCTCGACAGCCAGTGTCCTTGAACCCGGAATCGTTTTCGAATCTCACAGCCAAGATCGAGGGAAAACTAGGCAAAGCTGTCAAAGACAACTCAACCGATAACAAGAAGCGCAAACACGTCTCCGACGAGCCATTGGAGAGCTCGCATCAACGGAAAAAGCACGCCCATCGTCGCGACAAGTCCACGAGCGGGCGGGACGACATTACGACCAAGGTGAAGGGCAAGAAAGGCGCGCTCCTCAACCGCGAGGATTTCCTTGAGGAGATCAGGGCTTTGGGAGGAGACGAAGAGGACCTGAAGCTCATTGGAGACATTGATTCGGACGACGAGGACGCCGCTGAGGAAGCCAACTCTATGGCTAATATTGACGGAAAGCTTCAGAGTGAGCTTGCTGCTTTCGCAGCCCAGCTCGGCCTCCAGCAACATCACGAAGCAGCAACAGCCCAGGATGCAGAAGAATCCCCGGAGGAGGAGGAGACAGAGGAGGACGAAGCGAGCGAGGCAGATGAAGTTGGTGAAAGCGATGACCAGTCTGCCCAGGAGGACGCAGCTGCAGAAGTCCATGCACCGCAACAACCTCCCCGTAAGGATGTCAAAGATACGTTCAAGAAGCAGTTCGTGAGCAGCCACCTGACCCAAGTTCCCGTCAAATTCATGCATATGCTGACCTGTGCCCGCCAGAAATTCGAACCTCGTGCTGACTGGCACGGGGCGGAACTGAGCCAGCTCCCAGACCCTACGTCCCCCGAAGTGAATGGTTTCCTTGGCGTCATCAGTGCTCTCAAAGCTCATGCAGTCGCTCTTCTGGAGGCGGATGCGGCAGCGTACAATAAGAGCGTCCTGGCATCATCCTCTCGAAAGTTCCTCTCCACCATCATGTCTTCCGGAACGCTCTCCGACAAAGTCTCTGCTCTCACCTTGGCAATTCAAGAGTCACCACTGCACAATGTCAAGGCTTTTGAGTCTCTCCTAGGCCTTGCGTCCAAAAGGAGTCGTGCTCAGGCCATTGGCGCTCTTGGCGCTCTGGTTGATCTGCTCGGTCCGGGTCTAGTTCTACCCCCTAATAGGAGACTGCGTGCCTTTCAGACTCAACCTGGTCTCATTGGAGTTCTGCAGCGATCCTCCGTCAAGAATTGGAACTCTAGCCAAGCCTTACCGGGTCGCTTAACGGATGCACACCTCATCCAGTGGGCTTACGAGGATTGGCTCAAGATATCATACTTCAAGATCATCCAGCTCCTTGAGGTCTGGTGCAACGACGAGATTGAATACTCTCGCACCCGTTCCATCGACTTTGTCTACGGCCTGCTCAAGGACAAGCCCGAGCAAGAGACCAATTTACTCAGGCTCTTGGT